ATCTAGGGAATTGTGGTAATTCAGGTAAACAGTGTCTAGCTTGGTACCAACAGAAACCTGGAGGAGCTCCTAAACTCCTCATTTACTATACAAGCACCCTTCAGTCTGGGACTCCATCTAGATTCAGTGGCAGTGGATCTGGGAGTGACTTCACTCTGACCATAAGTGGAGTCCAGGCTGAAGATGCAGGAGATTACTACTGTCAGAGTATACACATTCCCAATAGTAAATATGTGTTCACACAGTGATACAGAGCCGTACAAAAACCTCCCTCAGTCAGACTGCACAGTGACTGTACTGCTACAGCTGGGACCTAATGCAGGTGCTGAGGGGGACACAGTGACATGGAACACTCGTCAGTAGAAGACATCAACTCTGGCATGTGACAATATGATTAGAAAGCAATTATTCAGATCACATGTTCTCTGTCATCATCATCATTCTTGTTAAATGACTTATGATTATTGCTATAATTGTCATGACACCTAAGTGCACCTACAAAAGTAACCCCACCGAGTTGCAGAAGTCAAAACATTTGCTAATTAAAATGAGAAACATTTCAACCCCACTTCCCCCCTGTATGAAAAGGAAAAAGATGTGGATCTCAGACATTAGACCACATGTCAGTAACTGTCAATGCCTGTCTTTAGTAATACCCATCTTATATGTCATCTATTACATGGTGGTTTATTCAGTGTAAGAAAGTCCCCTCCTTGAATCCACCATAGAGGTTACAGTAAAACTAGTCCACCCACTGACATCTGGCCCAGTCCAGGCAGTGAAACTGAAACCAGACTGATATCTGTGGGAGTGAAACTGAGATTTCCATAGACAGGGCTGGGTGGTTCTGCTTGTCCCAGAATAGAGCAGCACTGTCACCAGATGTTCACTCTGTTCCCAGGGTGTTGGAGGTAGAGAAGACTATCACTCTACTATATATCTTGAAGTAGTGGCACTTGTAATATTTGTCAAATTTAAAAAAAAATTAACCTTAGAATAACAGCCTATAACACGTGTGAGAGAGCAAGATATCTGTCGACTGTTTGATAGTTCTTATTTTATTACTGTAAAGTCAAGTCAAACAGGTCTGACAAGGACTCAGTATCCTGATGAATAATAGAACATATTCTATTATATCATATTATATTGTGATAGTATTAATTACTGGTCAATGATGATGTTAAGTGAGAATGAGATTTAGGCCTGACAGTTTTCAAAGACACCATTAATCAGTGTGGTGTCCGAACAACGATGCTGCGATGATGTGTTGATAAGAAATCCGCTGACACTGTACTTTGATTATAAGGGTTTATTATATCAAAGATTTCAGCATCAATTTACAGACTCTGAAGATTCTGGAGAGCAACGAAACCAATCCCAAATATGATCGCTCTCCCATTCTTTTGTTAAAACATGGTATATATATCCTATGCTTTATGTAACATAAGGTGGCGTGATTTGAATAGACCAATTCCTGGCCTCCACATATCCGAATCTCCTCTGTTTTAGGGGGCCCCTATAGTAACACTTTCCAGATGTTTCAGCAAAGTAGAGTAAAGTTCATCTAACCAACAATATGAAAACCTCAGCCAAAGTTATAGATGTTCAGATACTACATCAGCTTTACTGAATATACATATTTTTCCAGAATATGACAAATGTATCTATAATCCAGTTTATTAATAGAAACAATAAAAATTTGCATTCCAAAAAGAAATCTGTATTTTAATACATTATCACATAATCGAAGCATCAAAGCAAACATGATAGTGAATAAAAGCAGATCACATCAAATCTAAAACTAACAAAATCTCAATCTACAGAATGGATTGACACATGAATTCAAGCCAAGCCCCCTGTTAGTCTACACCAGAGTGATCACTAAATCGGAGAACGACTGATTTTAGAACAAAGCAAGTCAAAGCAGAGGAACCATCATCCTCTCTCCACAGGGGTGTGTGACAGAGGGGTCCTACCCAGAACAGTCAGCCCTCCTCAGGATCTTGGTGACTGGACTCTGGGATTTCTGCTGGGCTTCACAGGTCACCTCTCCTGACTTGGTCCACTCCTGGGCAGTGAGAGTCAGTGTGCTGCTCCAGCTGTACAGACCGTCCTTCTCCTGGACCCCGGGACTGGCCTCCTGCTTCTTGCTGGTCCCGTCCACTTTCCAGCTCATGGTCCAGTCTGAGGGGAAGCCCTTGTTGGCCAGACACGTCAGCGTGGCTGTTGACTTACTGGACAGCTCCTCACTAGAGGGGGGCAGGACGGTCAGGGTAGGGGAACTGTTACCTGGAAGAAACAAAATGCATCAACTACATCAAAACAAAGCACTTTGGAAATTACTTCTAAAACTTTATATGAATATACAAGTTAGATTGCTAAAATATGTGAAGAAATCACAAACAGTAATATGATATAAAGCAGATTACAAGTATAAAGTATACAGGCAGAAAGCATACAAGTATGCACCTACTGGGCAAAACTGATTGAATCGACGTTGTCTCCACGTTATTTCAACCCAAAGAATATATGTGATAACATTTAATCAACATGGAAAACTGATTGGATTTGCAAAAAGTCATCAACTTAAGGGGATTTTGTATTTTTAACCTAAATTCAATGACATTGTAATTTTTTTCGTGGATTTTGCATTCGAATTCACTTTAGTTGACAACTCCAACCAAATGTAAATCAAAACCAGACGTTGAACTGACATCTGTGCCCAGTGGGAAGGGTTAGTAACTTTCCGTTACTAGTCATGCACATATTTTTTTGGGAATGTATCTGACTAGAACAACCTCATATTTAGAGTATTTTGTCAGAATCCACATTAACAGTATAGGCTATCATGAACTCAATGCAATGATGACTACAACAATATACACTGCTCAAAAAAATTAAGGGAACACTAAAATAACACATCCTAGATCTGAATGAATGAAATAATCTTATTAAATACTTTCTTCTTTACATAGTTGAATGTGCTGACAACAAAATCACACAAAAATTATCAATGGAAATCAAATGTATCAACCCATGGAGGTCTGGATTTGGAGTCACCCTCAAAATTAAAGTGGAAAACCACACTACAGGCTGATCCAACTTTGATGTAATGTCCTTAAAACAAGTCAAAATGAGGCTCAGTAGTGTGTGTGGCCTCCACGTGCCTGTAGGACATCCCTACAACACCTGGGCATGCTCCTGATGAGGTGGCGGATGGTCTGCTGAGGGATCTCCTCCCAGACCTGGACTAAAGCATCCGCCAACTCCTGGACAGTCTGTGGTGCAACGTGGCGTTGGTGGATGGAGCGAGACATGATGTCCCAGATGTGCTCAATTGGATTCAGGTCTGGGGAACGGGCGGGCCAGTCCATAGCATCAATGCCTTCCTCTTGCAGGAACTGCTGACACACTCCAGCCACATGAGGTCTAGCATTGTCTTGCATTAGGAGGAACCCAGGGCCAACCGCACCAGCATATGTTCTCACAGGGGGTCTGAGGATCTCATCTCGGTACCTAATGGCAGTCAGGCTACCTCTGGCGAGCACATGGAGGGCTGTGCGGCCCCCCAAAGAAATGCCACCCCACACCATGACTGACCCACCGCCAAACCGGTCATGCTGGAGGATGTTGCAGGCAGCAGAACGTTGTCCACGGCGTCTCCAGACTCTGTCACGTCTGTCACGTGTTCAGTGTGAACATGCTTTCATCTGTGAAGAGCACAGGGCGCCAGTGGCGAATTTGCCATTCTTGGTGTTCTCTGGCAAATGCCAAACGTCCTCCACGGTGTTGGGCTGTAAGCACAACCCCCACCTGTGGACGTCAGGCCCTCATACCACCCTCATGGAGTCTGTTTCTGACCGTTTGAGCAGACACATGCACATTTGTGGCCTGCTGGAGGTCATTTTGCAGGGCTCTGGCAGTGCTCCTCCTGCTCCTCCTTGCACAAAGGCGGAGGTAGCAGTCCTGCTGCTGGGTTGTTGCCCTCCTACGGCCTCCTCCACGTCTCCTGATGTACTGGCCTGTCTCCTGGTAGCGCCGCCATGCTCTGGACACTACGCTGACAGACACAGCAAACCTTCTTGCCACAGCTCGCATTGATGTGCCATCCTGGATGAGCTGCACTACCTGAGCCACTTGTGAGGGTTGTAGACTCCGTCTCATGCTACCACTAGAGTGAAAGCACCGCCAGCATTCAAAAGTGACCAAAACATCAGCCAGGAAGCATAGGAACTGAGAAGTGGTCTGTGGTCACCACCTGCAAAACCAGTCCTTTATTGGGGGTGTCTTGCTAATTGCCTATAATTTCCACCTGTTGTCTATTCCATTTGCACAACAGCATGTGAAATGTATTGTCAATCAGTGTTGCTTCCTAAGTGGACAGTTTGATTTCACAGAAGTGTGATTGACTTGGAGTTACATTGTGTTGTTTAAGTGTTCCCTTTATATTTTTGAGCAGTGTATATTATAGTTATCATACCAGAATAATAATAATAATAATAATATGCCATTTAGCAGACGCTTTTATCCAAAGCGACTTACAGTCATGCGTGCATACATTTTTTTTGTGTATGGGTGGTCCCGGGGATCGAACCCACTACCCTGGCGTTACAAGCGCCGTGCTCTACCAGCTGAGCTACAGAGGACCACAATTTAACAGTTTCTCTGAATTTGACTTGAGACAACAATAACATTACTTGGTTTCTTAACTGCGCTAGACATGTAAACACTCATGGATCATGCCCTTGTGGTCTGAGCTACTATCCTCAAGTGCAAACAAAATGAGGTTGTTGTGTCGATAAATACCAGCATCAGTCTTCTGTAAAAGTTGGAGAAAAAGTACGGCATCAAATTCTAAAACCTCAATTTCATTCTAAACAACGGGACTCTCAAAAACAATGAATTCACAGAGGCATGTGGCATACCTTGCTCAATACCGAAGTTTCGATAGCCAACGCTTGTTCATCAAAAAGAGGTTACTGTGATTTAGCAAGCCACCAAACCTCCAGGAAAGTATACAAATGTTAGTGGGTAGATGAATCACGGAAAATATCCGTGGCAACGTTATTGTATTGTCACTATTTTGTAGCAAACATACGTTACAACGTCGAAGCCAAAAACAGTATGTACGTTTTCCAAGTAGCAAATCACCTCCAAGGTGAAATTATCATTTGCAGGCGTGGTGAGAGGATCCCGATTTTAAAAAACGTAGTTGGGTTCTTTGTGGGGTATTTCCGGAGTAGTTCCGCTGTGTTTCCCTAGATATCCGTGGCAAGTAGAAAACTATTCCACCAGCGAGCTAGCTCCCCACCCCCACATACAACCAAGTCCACTTCAGCCTGCCCGAATTTCCGATTAGCAACAACATACACTCAAATTTCAGTCAAGCTCCTCCTCAACATCCTCTCAAATCACAACGGCGAAGGAATTTGTCAGTCTTTGTTTAAATTGACGACCAGTAAAAAAGTTTACCCAGTTCCTAAAACAAAACTTAATTTATTGATAGCAAAGTCACGTCTGACGAAATTAAACAAAATACTTTGCTAATGTTAGCTAACACATCCACTTAAAGTTACAATGGGCATTTCACATTGAATTTACCTTACTTTATTTACAGTCAAATCAGTTGAAGTTAATGTTGGACGTGGGATAGTGGGAATAGTGTTTGCGCTATTACCATCCATTTCGACATAACTAGCTACACTAGCAATGGAACCATTTATCTAGCTAGCCAGCAAACGTCAACTGCTTGATTGGAAATTGTTTTTCTCCCCTCATTAATCTTAGCTAGCTACCTTGCTAACGTAACTTACATATCTGCCAGTTCATAAAGTCACAGGGCAAAACGTTCTACAGCCAGCTGTATGAATAGTTATTAACTAGCCAGTTGTTTCTCACGACCACTAACATGAGTCCGAGCGCTGGAATGTTGACCTAACTAGCTAGCCTCGTTTACGGCAACTAGCAAAGGCTAGCTAGCGGACTAGCGGGGAGTGTCCGGGCCATGGCGCAGACTACTATCCACATAGCTAGCTGGCTAAAACGTTAGAAAGGAATTCAATTAGTTTCTACTAAAATCATATTTTCTGTGAATTCCAATCAATTCTGTACGACTAGTTGTCGTGATCGTGATGCACTGATAGGCGGTGGCAAGCAATGTGAATTTGGACTGCGGAAAACATTTGCCTACAAACTAGCTAACTTAGCTAGCTAACCACCAAATACAACGCAAAACATTTGATGTTAAATCCAAATAAATATGAAAATAGATTATTTAACGAAGATGCCTATAAGAGTTATATAGTCTGCAATCATACAAATCAAACATGCAAATTTAACATTTTGATTAAATAAACTGTTGAAAGAAGGCTCAGTCAAAATATATAACAATCTTTTTGGAAAGTAAAATATCTCAAACCTGAATGTTGTAATAGAGATGAAAGAGTTTAAGAAAAAAAATCGAATCAGACAAACATCAATAGACTTACTTCCAACATCAAGTCTGGTGCCACTACCAAAAGTGTACCAAAGTGATACTGCTGGTACAAAAACCTCCTGACCATTGGGCTAGCTGAATACTTACATTTTTTAGACTGTGGTTTAAATCATGAACTCATATGAATACTGGCCAAATACAATGTTATACTCTTCATTTGAAATAGTTTTATTATAAAATATAAAGTAATAAAACAAAAAACAAAAATTGCTGTCAACGGCGTCAGTGAAATGCGGTGGGCAAAGTCAAACGCAGGACACAGAGCTGTTCAGAAAACGTACTTTACTAGAAAGTAAACTGAGAATACACAATCTCCACACAGGGAGGAAATAACCTGCACACTAACGACTGCCGATAACAATGACAATCACACACAACACACAGTGTAAGACAGAGGGTTAAATAGGGAAGACCATACTACATAATGGGAAACAGGTGTAACCAATCAAGACAGAACAAGTCGAACATAGAAACATAGATCGGTAGCAGCTAGTACTCCGGTGACGACGAACGCCGAAGCCTGCCCGAGCAAGGAGGAGGGGCAGCCTCGGCTGAATCCGTGACAGTACCCCCCCTTGATGCGCGGCTCCAGCCGTGCGCCGACCCCGGCCTCGGGGACGGCCAGGAGGACGCGGAGCAGGGCGGGTCAGATGACTCTGGTGGAAATCCCTCAACATGGAGGAATCTAGGATGTCCCTCCTAGGGACCCAACACCGTTCCTCCGGACCGTACCCCTCCCACTCCACGAGATACTGCAGGCCCCCCCACCCGACGCCTCAAATCCAAGATGGAACGGACCGAGTACGCTGGAGCCCCCTCGATATCCAGTGGGGGCGGAGGAACCTCTCGTACCTCAGACTCCTGGAGTGGACCAGCTACTACCGGCCTGAGGAGAGACACATGGAACGAGGGGTTAATACGGTAATTAATAGGAAGTTGTAACCTATAACAAACCTTGTTCAATCTCCTCAGGACTTTAAATGGCCCCATAAACCGCCGACACAGCTTCCTGCAGGGCAGGCGAAGGGGCAGGTTTCAGGTCGAGGGCCAGACCCGATCCCCCGGTGCATACACCGGAGCCTCACTGCGGTGGCGATCGGCGCTCACCTTTTTTCGCCTGATAGCCCGCTGCAGGTGTACATGCGCAGCGTTCCAGGTCTCTTCCGAGCGCCTAAACCACTCGTCCACCGCAGGAGCTTCGATCTGGCTCTGATGCCAAGGTGCCAGGACCGGCTGATAACCTAACACACACTGAAAAGGCGTAAGGTTAGTAGAGGAGTGGCGAAGTGAGTTTTGGGCTATCTCTGCCCAGGGGATATAACCCGACCACTCCCCCTGCTGGTCCTGGCAATAGGACCTCAGAAACCTTCCCACATCCTGGTTAACTCTCTCCACCTGCCCATTTCTCTCGGGGTGAAAACCTGAGGTAAGGCTAATTGAGACCCCCAGACGTTCCAGGAACGCCCTTCAGACTCTAGAGGTGAACTGGGGACCCCGATCTGACACTATATCCTCAGGTACCCCGTAGTGCCGGTAGACATGTGTAAACAGGGCGTCAGCAGTTTGTAGGGCTGTAGGGAGACCTGGCATAGGAATGAGACAGCAGGCCTTCGAAAACCGATCCACAATGACCAAGATCGTGGTGTTCCCCTGTGAGGGGGGAAGGTCCATGACAAAGTCCACCGATAGATGAGACCACGGCCGTTGTGGAACGGGCAGGGGTTGTAATTTCCCTCTGGGCAGGTGTCTAGGTGCCTTACACTGGGCGCACACCGAGCAGGAGGAAACATAAACCCTCACGTCCTTGGCTAAAGTGGGCCACCAGTACTTCCCACTAAGACAGTGTACTGTCCGACCGATACCAGGATGACCAGAGGAGGGTGACGTGTGAGCCCAATAGATCAATCGATCACGAACCTCGAGCGGCATGTACATCCGACCCTCCGGACACTGGGGGGGAGTAGGCTCGGTACGTAACGCCCGCTCGATATCCGCATCAACCTCCCACACCACCGGTGGCAACAGACACGACGCCGGGAGTATGGGAGTGGGCTGAATGGACCTCTCCTCTGTGTCATACAGTTGGGACAGGGCGTCTGCCTTAGCGTTCTGGGAACCTGGTCTGTAAGTGAGCGTAAACACAAATCGAGTGAAAAACATAGCCCATCTTGCCTGACGAGGGTTCAACCTCCTCGCCGCCCGGATGTACTCCAGGTTACGATGGTCAGTCAAAATGAGAAAAGGGTGTTTAGCCCCCTCAAGCCAATGCCTCCACACCTTCAGGGCTTGAACCACAGCTAACAGCTCCCGGTCCCCCACATCATAATTGCGCTCCGCCGGACTGAGCTTCTTAGAAAAGAAAGCACAGGGGCGGAGTTTTGGTGGCGTACCCGAGCGCTGAGACAGTACAGCACCGAGCCCAGCCTCGGACGCATCCACCTCAACTTGGAATGCCAAGGAAGGATACGGATGAGCCAGCACCGGACCCAAAGTAAACAGGTCCTTCAGATGCCTAAAAGCCCTGTCCGCCTCAGCCGACCACTGCAGACGCACCGGCCCTCCCTTTAGCAAGGAGGTGATGGGAGCCGCTACCTGCCCAAAGCCCCGGATAAACCTCCGGTAGTAATTGGCAAAACCCAAGAACCGCTGCACCTCCTTCACCGTGGTTGGAGCCTGCCAATTACGCACGGCCGAAACGCGGTCAACCTCCATCTCCACACCTGACGCGGACAAGCGGTGTCCCAGGAAGGAGATGGACTCTTGGAAGAACAGACATTTCTCCGCCTTCACATACAGGTCATGCTCCAACAGTCTACCAAGCACCCGACGAACCAGGGACACATGCTCGGCTCGTGTAGCGGAGTATATTAGAATGTCATCGATATACACCACTACACCCTGTCCATGCAGGTCCCGGAAAATCTCATCAACAAACGATTGGAAGTCTGAAGGCGCATTCATCAGAACGTATGGCATGACGAAGTACTCATAGTGCCCCAAGATGGTACTAAATGCTGTCTTCCACTCATCTTCCTCCCGAATACGCACCAGGTTGTACGCGCTCCTGAGATCCAATTTAGTGAAGAAGCGCGCCCCGTGCAATGACTCCGTCATACTAGCGATCAGAGGTAGTGGATAGCTATATTTTATTGTGATCTGATTTAGACCACGGTAGTCAATGCACGGGCGTAAACCACCACCCTCCTTCTTCACAAAAAAGAAACTCGATGACGCAGGGGAAGTGGACGGCCGTATGTATCCCTGTCTCAGAGATTCGGTGACATATGTTTCCATAGCCACCGTCTCCTCCTGTGACAGAGGATACACGTGACTCCGGGGAAGCGCAGCGCCTACCTGGAGGTTTATCGCACAATCCCCCTGTCGATGGGGTGGTAATTGAGTCGCCTTCTTTTTACAGAAGGCGAGAGCCAAGTCGGCATATTCAGGCGGAATGTGCAAGGTGGGAACCTGGTTCGGACTCTCCACCGTAGTTGCCCCTACGGAAACACCTACACACCTCCCCAAGCACTGATCAGACCATCCTTTGAGAGCCCTCTGTTGCCATGAAATAGTGGGGTCATGAGAAGCTAACCAGGGAAGCCCCAACACCACGGGAAACTCAGGAGAATCAATCAGATACAAACTAATCATTTCCTCATGACCCTCCTGCGTCTTCATCCTGAGAGGCGTTGTGACTTCCCTAATCAACCCTGACCCTAAAGGGCGGCTATCTAGGGCATGGATAGGGAAGGGCACATCGACTGGCACAATAGGAATCCCTAACTTATGGGTACATTGACGATCAATAAAGTTCCCAGCTGCGCCTGAATCTACTTGCGCCTTATGCTGGGACTGAGGAGAAAACTCGGGAAACACAACATTCATACACATATGCGCAACAGGGAGCTCTGGGTGAGTTGGGTGCCTACTCACCTGACACGGCTCATCAGTGCGCTGCCTACTGCCTCGACTCCTAGGAGGCCCTCCCCAGCACCGACCAGCAGTGTGTCCTCTGCGGCCACAGTTGGTGCAGGGGACGGCCCCTCTACTGGTCTCCCTCATAGCAGCACCTCCGAGCTCCATAGGGGTAGGGTCGGAGGTGCTGGGGGATGGAATGGACGGCCCCAGATCCGGACGTCCGCGGGTAGCCAACAGGTTATCTAGTCGAATAGACATGTCCACCAGTTGGTCCAGGCTTAGGTTGGTGTCCCTGCAGGCCAATTCCCGACGAACGTCCTCCCTCAAGCTACATCGGTAGTGGTCGATGAGGGCCCTCTCATTCCATCCCGCGTTGGCAGCCAGAGTCTGAAAGTCCAGTGCGAATTCCTGCGCACTACTCTTCCCCTGTCTGAGGTGGAATAGACGCTCACCCCTCTGGTGGATGATCGAATACCACCCTAAAGCGGAGGGTGAATTCCGCATAGCTGATAGTGGCGGCGTCTATCCCCCCCCCCCCCCCACTCTGCGTTGGCCCACTCCAGCACTTTACCGGACAGACAGGAGATGAGGGCGGACACGCTCTCGTATCCCGAGGGGGCCGGGTGGATGGTTGCCAGGTAGAGTTCTACCTGGAGCAGAAAACCCTGACACCCGGCAGCTGTGCCGTCATAAGCCCTCGGGAGCGAGAGCCGAATCCCACTGGACCCCGGAGGTGAAACGATGCGTATCGAGGTAGATGGTGGTGTCATCGGAGGAGGTATAGGAAGACCTCCTCTCTCCCATCGCTCCATTGTGTTAACCACACGTTCCATGGCGGTGCCGAGAGCCTGGATCATGGCCGCTTGTTGTTGTACGCGTTCCTCCATCGATCCGGCTGGCACTGCTGCTCCTGCTGACTCCATGTAGGGTGTGTGATTCTGTCAACGGTGTCAGTGAAATGCGGTGGGCGAAGTCAAACGCAGCACTCAGAGCTGATCAGAAAACGTACTTTACTAGAAAGTAAACTGAGAATACACAATCTCCACACAGGGAGGAAATAACCTGCACACTAACGACTGCCGATAACAATAACAATCACACACAACACACAGTGTAAGACAGAGGGTTAAATAGGGAAGACCATACTACATAATGGGAAACAGGTGTAACCAATCAAGACAGAACAAGTCGAACATAGAAACATAGATCGGTAGCAGCTAGTACTCCGGTGACGACGAACGCCGAAGCCTGCCCGAGCAAGGAGGAGGGGCAGCCTCGGCTGAATCCATGACAATTGCTCAACATAAAGTCATACAATTGACAGAGAAAGATCTAGTCTGGTGCCGCTACCAAAAGTCCACCACAGTGATACAACCCCTATTACTACTCGTACAAAAACCTCTCTGTGTTGTGATGCTGCAGCTGTTACAGTGTAGATCACTCATACAGAATCACATTAATCACAAGTACACTTTAACATCTTCCAAGGTAGAACAAACACTTCAAATTAGCTGTTTATACAATTACTAAAAATATAAATTGTATCTGAAATCCAGATATATTTGTTTGTCTTTATTCTGTGTGTCAGATATACTCTTAGGAACAGAACAGTCAGTGTTCAACATTAAATCCAGCATTTGTGTTCCTCCATTTTGTCCATGTGAAAGAGAGGAGCAAACGCAGCAGCAGTAATATTGATTCATGTTGTGTATATTCCTTGTTTATCTCAGATATATCTCTGATTGTAAAGTCACAGAGAACAGACATCACTACCAGAGGAATCCTACCAGCATTAGTTTAGAGAAGTGTTCAGTAACTGATTTGAGAAACGTACATAAGAGTCCAAGCATGAGTGAATTGACAGTTAGGGCTATATTCAATCTGTATTGCTGAAGCCTTAAATTTCAATTGGGCTTTAGCACTGAACTTCAGCAATACGGATTGAATAGAGCCCTTCATCTGAAATAAAAGTCATATAAAATATATTAGAGTAATAAGTTGCTGTTTGTTCTTATAAATGCTAACATGTGCAGGATAAAATACACTCTTAATGATGGGAGCCTACTTGGAAGCTGAAATAGAGTAGAAACATGAACATGCATATGCCCGCACTGTATAAACATTTGGATTTAACACTTCATGACTGAGAGCTGTCGGTAATGGCAACATCAGCAGATTTTTCACCTAGTCAGCTCGGGGATTCGAACTAGCGACCTCTTAACCGCTAGGCTACCTGCCACCCCATATGCAGCGTTTACCGTGAATGCAGTCTCCGCAAACACAGGAACATTGCCTTTCAATTCCAATCACGCTGTAATGCTGAACTTCCGCGATACGGATTGAATAGACCCCTTCATCTTGATGCTTGCCATTTGCTTTCAAGTTAAAGTTGCTGTTGAATTCTAAAGCATATTATGTTATAGAAAACTGATCTTAAATGGAATCTGATCTTGACAATGTGTTATTATTTTCTCAGTATCCAGAGGGCAGATCACTGTGACTCAGACTCCTGCAGTGAAAGCTGTCCTTTCAGGTCAAATACTGCAGTTACTCTCCACTGCTGTGAAACCAGCAGTAATCCATTAAAGGCTCTGTGCAGTCAAAATTCAGTTTTTCTTGTGTTTTATATAATATTCTACAACAGCTGATCAATCAATCAATCAATTTTATTTTATATAGCCCTTCTTACATCAGCTAATATCTCGAAGTGCTGTACAGAAACCCAGCCTAAAACCCCAAACAGCTAGTAATGCAGGTGTAGAAGCACGGTGGCTAGGAAAAACTCCCTAGAAAGGCGAAAACCTAGGAAGAAACCTAGAGAGGAACCAGGCTATGAGGGGTGGCCAGTCCTCTTCTGGCTGTGCCGGGTGAAGATTATAACAGAACCATGCCAAGATGTTCAAAAATGTTCATAAGTGACAAGCATGGTCAAATAATAATCAGGAATAAATCTCAGTTGGCTTTTCATAGCCGATCATTAAGAGTTGAAAACAGCAGGTCTGGGACAGGTAGGGGTTCCATAACCGCAGGCAGAACAGTTGAAACTGGAATAGCAGCAAGGCCAGGCGGACTGGGGACAGCAAGGAGTCACCACGGCCGGTAGTCCCGACGTATGGTCCTAGGGCTCAGGTCTCTCAGTTGGCTTTTCATAGCCGATCATTAAGAGTTGAAAACAGCAGGTCTGGGACAGGTAGGGGTTTCGTAACCGCAGGCAGAACAGTTGAAACTGGAATAGCAGCAAGGCCAGGCGGACTGGGGACAGCAAGGTGTCATCATGCCCGGTAGTCCTGACGTATGGTCCTAGGGCTCAGGTTCTCAGAGAGAAAGAGAGAACGAGAGAATTAGAGAGAGCATACTTAAATTCACACAGGACACTGGATAAGACAGGAGAAGTACTCCAGGTATAACCAACTAACCCCAGCCCCCCGACACATAAACTACTGCAGCATAAATACTGGAGGCTGAGACAGGAGCGGTCCGCAGACACTGTGGCCCCATCCGAAGAAACCCCCGGACAGGGCCAAACAGGAAGGATATAACCCCACCCACTCTGCCAAAGCACAGCCCCCGCACCACTAGAGGGATATCCTCAACCACCAACTTACAATCCTGAGACAAGGCCGAGTATAGCCCACAGAGGTCTCCACCACAGCACAAACCAAGGGGGGGGGGGCGCCAACCCAGACAGGAAGATCACGTCAGTAACTCAACCCACTCAAGTGACGCACCCCTCCCAGGGACGGCATGAAAGAGCACCAGCAAGCCAGTGACTCAGCCCCTGCAACAGGGTTAGAGGCAGAGAACCCCAGTGGAGAGGGGAACCGGCCCGGCAGAGACAGCAAGGGCTGTTCGTTGCTCCAGAGCCTTTCCGTTCACCTTCACACTCCTGGGCCAGACTACACTCAATCATATGACCTACTGAAGAGATAAGTCTTCAGTAAAGACTTAAAGGTTGAGACCGAGTCTGCGTCTCTCACATGGGTAGGCAGACTGTTCCATAAAAATGGAGATCTATAGGAGAAAGCCCTGCCTCCCGCTGTTTGCTTAGAAATTCTAGGGACAATTAGGAGGCCTGCGTCTTGTGACCGTAGCGTACGTATTGGTATGTACGGCAGGACCAACTCGGAAAGATAGGTAGGAGCAAGCCCATGTAACGCTTTATAGGTTAACAGTAAAACCTTGAAATCAGCCCTTGCCTTAACAGGAAGCCAGTGTAGGGAAGCTAGCACTGGAGTAATATGATCAAATTTCTTGGTTCTAGTCAGGATTCTAGCAGCCGTATTTAGCACTAACTGAAGTTTATTTAGCCTAGAAGTAACAAATGCATGGATTAATTTTTCTGCATCATTTTTGGACAGAAAATTTCTAATTTTTGCAATGTTACGTAGATGGAAAAAAGCTGTCCTTGAAACAGTCTTGATATGTTCGTCAAAAGAGAGATCAGGGTCAAGAGTAACGCCGAGGTCCTTCACAGTTTTATTTGAGACGACTTTACAACCATCAAGATGAATTGTCAGATTTAACAGAAGATCTCTTTGTTTCTTGGGACCTAGAACAAGCATCTCTGTTTTGTCCGAGTTTAAAAGTAAAAAGTTTTCAGCCATCCACTTCCTTATGTCTGGAACACAGGCTTCTAGCGAGGGCAATTTTGGGGCTTCACCATGTTTCATTGAAATGTACAGCTGTGTGTAATCCGCATAGCAGTGAAAGTTAACATTATGTTTTCGAATAACATCCCCAAGAGGTAAAATATATAGTGAAAACAATAGTGGTCCTAAAACGGAACCTTGAGGAACACCGAAATGTACAGTTGATTTGTCGGAGGACAGACCATTCACAGAGACAAACTGATATCTTTCCGACAGGTAAGATCTAAACCAGGCCAGAACTTGTCCGTGTAGACCAATTTGGGTTTCCAGTCTCTCCAAAAGAATGTGGTGATCGATGGTGTCAAAGGCAGCACTAAGGTCTAGTAGCACGAGGACAGATGCAGAGCCTCGGTCTGACGCCATTAAAAGGTCATTTACCACCTTCACAAGTGCAGTCTCAGTGCTATGATGGGGTCTAAAACCAGACTGAAGCATTTCGTATACATTGTTTGTCTTCAGAAAGGCAGTGAGTTGCTGCGCAACAGCTTTTTCTAAAATTTTTGAGAGGAATGGAAGATTCGATATAGGCCGATAGTTTTTTATATTTTCCGGGTCAAGGTTTGGCTTTTTCAAGAGAGGCTTTATCACTGCCACTTTTAGTGAGTTTGGTACACATCCGGTGGATAGAGAGCTGTTTATTATGTTCAACATAGGAAACTAACACTGTAAAAGTGTTAGCTGATGAAACTAACACTGTAAAAGTGTAAAAAAAAAAATGGATCAGTGTTATTTCCTGATAGTTCCTAGCTGAAAATATGATGTACTGTACAGGACCTTCTAATTAGCAGGTTTGCATTTGAGTGAGGTTCAGTTTTCCATGGTGACATTACCATGTGGCAAATTAGTTACAGTGGCTTGCGAAAGTATTCACCCCCGTTAGCATTTTTCCTATTTTGTTGCCTTACAACCTGGAATTAAAATAGATTTTTGGGGGGTTTGTATCATTTGATTTACACAACATGCCTACCACTTTGAAGATGAAAAATATTTTTTCTTGTGAAACAAACAAGAAATAAAACAAAAAAACAGAAAACTTGAGCGTGCATAACTATTCAACCCCCAAAGTCAATACTTTGTAGAGCCACCTTTTGCAGCAATTACAGCTGAAAGTCTCTTGGGGTATGTCTCTATAAGCTTGGCACATCTAGCCACTGGGATTTTTGCCCATTCTTCAAGGCAAAACTTCTCCAGCTCCTTCAAGTTGGATGGGTTCCGCTGGTGTACAGCAATCTTTAAGTCATACCACAGATTCTCAATTGGATTGAGGTCTGGGCTTTGACTAGGCCATTCCAAGACATTTAAATGTTTCCCCTAAAACCACTCAAGTGTTGCTTTAGCAGTATGCTTTGCGTCATTGTCCTGCTGGAAGGTGAACCTCCGTCCCAGTCTCAAATCTCTGGAAGACTGAAACAGGTTTCCCTCAAGAATTTCCCTGTATTTTGCGCCATCCATTATTCCTTCAATTCTGACCAGTTTCCCAGTCCCTGCCAATGAAAAACATCCCCACAGCATTATGCTGCCACCAACATGCTTCACTGTGGGGAAGGTGTTCTTGGGGTGATGAGAGACGTTGGGTTTGCGCCAGACATAGCTTTTCCTTGATGGCCAAAAAGCTAAATTTTTGTCTCATCTGACCAGAGTACCTTCTTCCATATGTTTGGGGAGTCTCCCACATGCCTTTTGGCGAACACCAAACGTGTTTGCTTATTTTTTTCTTTAAGCAATGGCTTTTTTCTGGCCACTCTTCCATAAAGCCCAGCTCTGTGGAGTGAACGGCTTAAAGTGGTCCTATGGACAGATAGTCCAATCTCCGCTGTGGAGCTTTGCAGCTCCTTCAGGGTTATCATTGGTCTCTTTGTTGCCTCTCTGATTAATGCCCTCCTTGCCTGGTCCATGAGTTTTGGTGGGCGGCCCTCTCTTGGCAGGTTTGTTGTGGTGCCATATTCTTTCCATTTTTTAATAATGGATTTAATGGTGCTCCGTGGGATGTTCAAAGTTTTGGATATTTTTGTATAACCCAACCCTGATCTGTACTTCTCAACAACTTTGTCCCTGACCTGTTTGAAGAGCTCCTTGGTCTTCATGGTGCCGCTTGCTTGGTGGTGCCCCTTGCTTAGTGGTGTTGCAGTCTCTGGGGCCTTTCAGAACAGGTGCACAGTCGTGTTCAAAAGTTTTGAGAATGACACAAATATTAACTTTCACAATGTCTGCTGCCTTAATTTTTATGATGGCAATTTGCATATACTCCAGAATGTTATGAAGAGTGATCAGATGAATTGCAATTAATTGCAAAGTCCCTCTTTGCCATGAAAATGAACTTAATCCCCAAAAAACATTTCCACTGCATTTCAGCCCTGCCACAAAAGGACCAGCTTACATCATGTCAGTGATTCTCTCGTTAACACAGGTGAGAGTGTTGACGAGGACAAGGCTGGAGATCACTCTGTCATGCTGATTGAGTTAGAATAACAGACTGGAAGCTTTAAAAGGAGTGTGGTGCTTGAAATCATTGTTCTTCCTCTGTTAACCATGGTTACCTGCAAGGAAACACGTGCCGTCATCATTGCTTTGCACAAAAAGGGCTTCACAGGCAAGGATATTGCTGCTAGTAAGATTGCACCTAAATCAACCATTTATCGGATCATCAAGAACTTCAAGGAGAGAGGTTCAATTGTTGTGAAGAATGCCTTCAGGGCGCCCAAGAAGGTCCAGCAAGCGCCAGGACCGTCTCCTAAAGTTGATTCAGCTGCAGGATTGGGGCACCACCAGTGCAGAGCTTGCTCAGGAATGGCAGCAGGCAGGTGTGAGTGCATCTGCACTCACAGTGAGGCGAAGACTTTTGGAGGATGGCCTGGTGTCTAGAAGGGCAGCAAAGAAGCCACTTCTCTCCAGGAAAAACATCAGTGACAGACTGATATTCTGCAAAAGGTACAGGGATTGGACTGCTGAGGACTGGGGTAAAGTCATTTTCTCTGATGAATCCCCTTTCCGATTGTTTGGGGCATCTGGAAAAAAGCTTGTCCGGAGAAGACAAGGTGAGCGCTACCATCAGTCCTGTGTCATGCCAACAGTAAAGCATCCTGAGACCATTCATGTGTGGGGTTGCTTCTCAGCCAAGGGAGTGGGCTCACTCACAATTTTGCCTAAGAACACAGCCATGAATAAAGAATGGTACCAACACATCCTCCGAGAGCAACTTCTCCCAACCATCCAAGAACAGTTTGGTGACGAACAATGCCTTTTCCAGCATGATAGAGCACCTTGCCATGAGGCAAAAGTGATAACTAAGTGGCTCTGGGAACAAAACATCAACATTTTGGGTCCATGGCCAGGAAACTCCCCAGACCTTAATCCCATTGAGAACTTGTGGTCAATCCTCAAGAGGCGTGTGGACAAACAAAAACCAACAAATTCTGACAAACTCCAAGCATTGATTATACAAGAATGGGCTGCCATCAGTCAGGTTGTGGCCCAGAAGTTAATTGACAGCATGCCAGGGCGGATTGCAGTGGTCTTGAAAAAGAAGGGTCAATACTGCAAATATTGACTCTTTGCATAAACTTAATGTAATTGTCAATAAAAGCCTTTGACACTTATGGAATGCTTGTAATTATACTTCAGTATACCATAGTAACATCTGACAAAAATATCTAAAAACACTGAAGCAGCAAACTTTGTGAAGACCAATATTTGTGTCATTCTCAAAACTTTTGACCACGACTGTATATATACTGAGATCATGTGACAGATCATGTGACACTTAGATTGCACACAGGTGGACTTTATTTAACTAATTATGTGATTTCTGAAGGTAATTGGTTGCACCAGATCTTATTTAGGGGCTTCATAGCAAAGGGGGTGAATACATATGCACGTACCACCTTTCCGTTATTTATTTTTTTAGAATTTCTTTAAACAAGTAATTTCTTTCATTTCACTTCACCAATTTGGACTATTTTGTTTTATGTCCATTACATGAAATCCAAATAAAAATCCATTTAAATTACAGGTTGTAATGCAACAAAACAGGAAAAACGCCATGGGGGATGAATATTTTTGAAAGGCACTGTAATAGAACAATAACAAAGAGAGTTCCAAATGTCTCTGCAAATAACAGCTAGTTTTCCGTTTTCCCCTCCCCACTCAGACCACTCCCAGACAGTCTTAGCTGCAGGTGCTGAGGGAGAGGACTAGACCAGTGATAGTGTTGAGGAATAGACCAGTGATAGTGTTGAGGACTAGACCAGTGATAGTACTGAGGACTAGACCAGTTATAGTGTTGAGGACTAGACAAGTGATAGTACTGAGGACTAGACCAGTGATAGTGTTGAGGACTAGACCAGTGATAGTGTTGAGGACTAGACCAGTGATAGTGTTGAGGACTAGACCAGTGATAGTACTGAGGACTAGACCAGTGATAGTACTGAGGACTAGACCAGTGATAGTACTGAGGACTAGACCAGTGATAGTGTTGAGGACTAGACCAGTGATAGTGTTGTGGACTAGACCAGTTATAGTGTTGAGGACTAGACAAGTGATAGTACTGAGGACTAGACCAGTGATAGTGTTGAGGACTAGACCAGTGATAGTGTTGAGGACTAGACCAGTGATAGTGTTGAGGACTAGACCAGTGATAGTACTGAGGACTAGACCAGTGATAGTGTTGAGGACTAGACCAGTGATAGTACTGAGGACTAGACCAGTGATAGTGTTTAGGACTAGACAAGTGATAGTGTTTAGGACTAGACAAGTGATAGTGTTGAGGACTAGACCAGTTATAGTGTTGAGGACTAGACCAGTGATAGCGTTGAGCACTAGACCAGTGATAGTGTTGAGGACTAGACCAGTGATAGTGTTGAGGACTAGACCAGTGATAGTACTGAGGACTAGACCAGTGATAGTACTGAGGACTAGACCAGTGATAGTGTTGAGGACTAGACCAGTGATAGTGTTGAGGACTAGACCAGTGATAGTGTTGAGGACTAGAACAGTGATAGTGTTGAGGACTAGACCAGTGTTAGTGTTGAGGACTACAGTCTGGAGTATCATAGGTTCCATTTATTATTTGACCGACCAACACGTAAAAATGAAAACAGTCACACAATGGTTGATATACACTCAGTGCACAAAACATTAGGAACATTCCATGACAGACTGACAAGGTGAATCCAGGTGAAAGCTGTGATCGCTTATTGATGTAACTTGATAAATCCACTTCAGTCAGTGTAGATGAAGGGGAGGACACAGGTTATATAATGATTTTTAAGCCTTGAGACAATTAAGACATGGATTGTGTATGTGTGCCATTCAGAGAGTGAAAGGGCAAGACAAAATATTGAAGTGCCTTTTAACGGGATATGGTAGTACGTGCCAGGCGCACCGGTTTGTTTGTCAAGAACTGCAACGCTGCTGGGTTTTTCACAGTCAGCAGTTTCCTGTGTGTATCAAGAATGGTCCACCACCCAAAGGACATTCAGCCAACGGCAGGCCAGTGGTCGAAAACGGGTCATTGATGAAAGAGGACAAAGGAGCCTGACATGAATTGTGCAGAGCAACAGACGAGCTACAGTTAGTCAACTGACAGACTAGTACAACATTGGTGACCAAAGACCCATAAAAGAATGCACAACTCATCGTTCCTTGACACGAATGGGGTATGGCAGCCGACATCCTTACAGAGTTCCACTTCTTTCAGAAAAAAAACAAGAAACTGAATTTGCAGTGGGCTACGGAAAAATATTGCTTGATCTGATGAATCCCTGTTTCTGCTGTTTCCCGCTGATGGGAGGACTACGGTATGGACAAAACCACATGAGTGCATGCATCCAAAATGCTGTGTGTCAACGTTGGTGGTGTGATGGTGTGGGGTGTGTTTTCATGGCACACATTGGGCCCCTTGATAAAAGTGGAGCAACGTTTAAATTGCCAATCAGGTGCATCCCTTCATGGTAGAAGTGTATCTATCTGCAAATTTATTTTTTCATCAGGATAATGCCCCATGCCACAAGGCTAGGATTGTCCAGGAATGGTTCCACGAACATGACAGTGAATTCAGATTACTGCAGTGGCCTGCCCAGTCACCAGATCTCAGTAAAATGAGCATCTGTGGGATGAGATGGAACGAGCAATTCGGAGTAGAGATCCACTACCAGCCAACTTGACACAACTGTGGGAGGCATTGGAGTCAATATGGGCCAGCATCCCTGTGGAAGGAACACTTTCGACACCTTATAGAGTTCAAAAACCGACAAATTGAGTCTGCTCTGAGGGCAAAAGGGGGTGGAACTCAATATTAGGAAGGCGTTCCTCATGTCTTGTACACTCAGTGTATATCCCATATATTACCAAATGAGGCATACGTTATCTGCCTTGCTCCAGTAGGCTCATTTGCATAGAGAGAACACTTTGCATTGGCAGCACATGCTTCAGAGGTCTGGGAGTGTTTATATCCCTGTGAGTTTAACATTTCATGACTGAGAGCTGTCCTTCATGACAACAGAACCCACAACAACCATGACTTTTATCACCATCTTCATCTGGACACTTGCATTCTGCTTTCAAGGTTACAATGTTAAGATTTGTTTTTATATTTTAGAAAAGATCATTCAAGATACACACATGAATAATATATATGGCTTTTATATATATATTGAGAACTATTTATTGTAATATGTATTTAATAATTCTTTTTTCTTTTACTCAATTTCCCAGAGTCCAGAGGACAGATCACTGTAACTCAGACTCCTGCTGTGAAAGTAGTTCTCCCAGGACAGACAGTCTCCCTGAATTGTAAAACCAGCAGTAATGTGCATACAAATAACCATCTAGCCTTGTACCAACAGAAACCTGGAGGGACTCATAAACTCCTTATTTACCTTGCTACAACCCTTCAGTCTGGGACTCCATCTAGATTCAGTGGTAGTGGATCTGGGAGTGACTTCACTCTGACCATCAGTGGAGTCCAAGCTGAAGATACAGGAGATTACTACTGTCAGAGTGAACACTACCCCAACAGTGTCTGGGTGTTCACACAGTGATACAGAGTCATACAAAAACCTCCCTCAGTCAGACTGCACAGTGACTGTACTGCTACAGAAAGCAGATACTATCTGGTCTAAAAGTATCTATCTGGTTAATTCCAGTCTCTGCAAGGTCCGCCAGTCAGGTAGTAAGTTTCAAGCAAAGATTCAACCATATTCACTGAGATGATATAACATGATTATAACCCATTAAAACAACCTGAGGTTCTGTCATACAAGAGACAGTGACACGGAAGACTGGTTAGTGAAGTCAACTTTGAATATGTTTAGAAAGCATCATTCAAATCACATGTTCCCCATCATCATCATTATTGTAGTGCACCTACAAAAGTTATTTGAAGTTCTGAAATACCCACAATACCAGTCCAATATGCAAAATAAAATGTACAGAAGTAAAGAAAAAGAAGGTGATGTTACATCAGCATCAGAACCCCAAGATACAATCCCCATATGCACCTCACAACCAAATATTGATGTGATCATCTGGCATTATACTAACTATTTTGATGAGCAAGTTACTGACTGTTACATCTGTGGATAAGACATGATGCTGGGTTCAGGCATTAGACATATCTACATTATGTATAATATCAATTTTTTCAGTCATAGATTACATGGTGGAATATCTGTTATTGTACCCTCCATGAATCCACCATAGAGGTTAAAACCAGTCCACTCCCTCACATCTGGCCCAGTCCAGGGTATTTCAGGCAGTGAAACTGTTCAACTGCTATACTGGTAGCTATAGGAGTGAAACTGAGATTTGCATAGACAGGGCTGGGTGGTTCTGCTTGTCCCAGAATAGAGCAGCACTGTCACCAGATATTCGCTCTGTTCCCAGGGGGATGGAGTTAGAGAAGACCAGGGGGAATATAATGGAGAAGGGTAGACTAAACAATGTTGAAAACCATTGCTAAAACATCTAATATAATAAAATCATATTAGGAATTAAACATTATTAATACAGTGCATTTGTAAAGTATTCAGACCCCTTGAGTTTTTCCACATTTTGTTACGTTACAACCTTATTCTAACATTTATTAAATAGTTTTTTTGTCCCTCGTCAATCTACACACAATACCCCATAATGACAAAGCAGAAACTGATTTTTATACATTTTTGCAAATGTATATTATATCTGTCTGGGCCACTCAAGGACATTCAGAGACTTGTCCCGAAGCCACTCCTGCATTGTCTTAGCTGTGTGCTTAGGGTCGTTGTCCTGTTGTAAGGTGAACCTTTGCCACAGTCTGAGGTCCTGAGCGCTCTGAAGCAGGTTTTCATCAAGGATCTCTCTGTACTTTGTTCCGTTTATCTTTCCCATGATCCTGACTAGTTTCCCAGTCCCTGCCACTGAAAAACATCCCCACAGCATGATGCTACCACCACCATGCTTCACCTTAGGGATGGTGCCAGGTTTCCTCCAGACATGACGTTTGGCAATCAGTCCAAAGAGTTCGATCTTGGTTTCATCAGACCAGATAATCTTGTTTCCATGGTCTGAGAGTCCTTTAGGTACCTTTTGGCAAACTCCAAACGGGCTGTTGTGCCTTTTACTGAGGAATTGCTTCCGTCTGGCCACTCTACCATAAAGGCCTGATTGGTGGAGTGCTGCTGAGATGGTAGTCATCCTGTAAGGTTCTCCCATCTCCACAGAGAAGCTCTGGATCTCTGTCAGAGTGACCATCAGGTTCTTGGTCACCTCCCTGACCAAGGCCCTTATCCCCCGATTGCTCAGTTCCGCTGGGCAGCCAGCTCTAGGAAGAGTCTTGCTGGTCCAAACTTCTTCCATTTAAGAATGATGGAGGCCACTGTGTTCTTGGGGACCTTCAATGCTGCAGAAATGTTTTAGTACCCTTCCCCAGATCTGTGCCTCGACAATTCCTTCGACCTCATGGTTTTTGCTCTGACATGCACTGTCAACTGTGGGACCTTATATAGACAGGTGTGTGCCTTTCCAAATCATGTCCTACAATTGAATTTACCACAGGTGGACTCCTATGAAGTTGTAGAAACATCTCAAGGATGGTCAATTGAAACAGGATGCACCTGAGCTCAATGTCAAGTCTCATAGCAACGGGTCTGAATACTTATTTAAATAAGGTATTTCTGTGTTTTATTTTTAATAAATTTGCAAACATTTCTAAAAACCTGTTTTCGCTTTGTCGTTATGGAGTATTGTGTATAGTTTGATGAGGACATAAAAAAAGAAAATCAATTTTAGAATAAGCAGTAACGTAACAAAATGTTGAAAAAGCATTACTGGGTCATCTGAAAAGTCATAGTCAATCGATCAATAATATAAAAATACTTTTGGCAAAAATGTTTATTTTCAAACAATGAGAATAGAAGGGTTCAGAACTTTTGTGAAACATCACAGTATAGTTGTCACAGATTCTGTCGAGACTGCTCCTCCTCCCGGTTCGGGCAGGCTTCGGCCTTCGCCGTCCCCGGAGTACTAGCTGCCACCGCTCTATGTTTCGTAGTGTGATTGCTTTCGTCTGTCTTTTACACCTGTGTCCATTTGTGTGTTGATTACTTGTCTTATAAGTTCCTTGTTTTGCATTAGTCTGATTGTGTGTTGTTATTTCTGCCTGTCGTGCGGAGCTGCGTGTTTGCACTCTGCCTATGTTGGATTATTGTTTACGCGTGTTTGCGTAATTGCCTCGCCTCCGTCTGTTTTCGAGGTCGTGTTTGTTTGTTGCACTTGGGACTATTAAAGTCTTTTGGACGTATCCTCTGTGTCCTGCGCCTGACTCCTCCACCACATCCACATTGGAACTACTGACAGAACAACACACCAACTATGGAGTCAGCAGGAGCAGCGGTGGCACCCGAATCCCTGGAAGACCGGATCAGCTACCAAGACACCATGATCCGGCAACTTGGGGCCGCCATGGACGAGGTGTCCAACACTCTGCGCCGGTTGGTTACTGGAGAGGTGCCCACGCATTCTTACACCATCCCATCACCAACGGCCAGTCCTCCTCTCTCAGCACCGGAACCCAG